TTGAAGAGACTATCTTGACTCCCTTGTATGTTTTTGCCTCCTTTGTCAAATATTAATTGAGCATAATGGCTTAGGTCGATTTATGGGTTCTCTGTTTTGTTCCATTGTCTATATGTCTGTTCTTGTGCAAGTACCAGGCAGTTTTGAGAACCATGGCTTATAATATAGCTTAATAACTGGTATTGTGATCCCTCCAACTTTGTTCTTCTTTCTCGAGATTGCTGTCACTTTTTTGGGTCTTTTTTATTCCAGATGAATTTTTGGAAAGTTTGTTCTAGGTCTTTGAAGTATGCCATTGGTATTTTAATGAGGGTTGCATTGAATCTATAGATTTCTTTGGGTAGTATGGACATCTTAATGATGTTGATTCTACTAATCCATGAACACAGTATATTCTTTCATTTGTTTATGTCTTATTCTATCTCTTTTTTCAATGTCCTGTAGTTTTCTGAGTACAGGTCTTTCACCTCCTTTGTTTAGTTTATTCCTAGGTATCTTCATTTTTTGGTGCAATGGTAAATGGGATTTTCTTTTTCCTCTTTCTGTGAGTTTATTATTTGTGTATAAAAAAGCCATACATTTCTGGGTGTTAATTTTTATCCTGCTACATTGCTGAATTCATTTACTACTTCTAGTAGTTTTTTGATGGACTCTTTAGGGGTAACTATGTATAATATCGTGTCACCTGTGAACAATGACAGTTTTACTTCTTCTTTCCCAATTTGGATGCTTTTTATTTATTCTTCTTGTCTGATTGCAATGGCTAGTACTTCCAGGACTATGTTGAACAGGAGTGGTGAGAGTGGGCATCCCTGTCTTGTTCCTGTTCTTAGGGGAAATGGTTTTATATTTTGCTCAATAAATATGATGTTGGCTGCAGGTTTGTCATATAAGGCTTTTATTATGCTGAGGTATGATCCCTCTATTCCCACCTTGCTAAGAGTTTTTATCAAGAAAGGGTGTTGGAATATGTCAAATGCTTTTTCTGCATCAATTAATATGATTACATGATTTTTGTCTCTCAATTTGTTTATGTAATGTATCACATTTATTGATTTGTGGGTATTGTGCCATCCTTGCATCCCCAGAATAAATCCCACTTGGTCATGGTGTATGATCTTTCCTAATGTAATGCTGGATCTGATTTGCTAGAAATTTGTTGAAGATTTTAGCATCTATGTTCATCAGGGATATTGACCTATAATTCTCTTTCTTTGTAGTGTCTTTATCTGGTTTGGGGTTAGACCAATATGTTCTCCCATGCAGTGGTTTCATAGAATGCTGGTTTCATAGAAAGAGCTTGGAAGTGTGCCTTCCTCTTGAATTTTTTGGAATAGTCTGAGGAGGAGAGGTTTTAGTTCTTATTTGAAGGTTTGGTAAACTCCCCTGTGAAGTTATCTGGCCCAGGGCTTTTTTTTTTTTCTGGAAGTTTTTTGATTACTGCTTCAATTTCCTCCATAGTTATCAGCCTATTCAGATTTTTTTTTAATTCTTTCTGGTTGAGTTTGGAAAGTCTTATTTTTCTAGGAATATGTCAGTTTCTTCTAGGTTGGCCATTTTGTTGGGATAGAGTTATTCATAGTATTTTTTTTTTTACAATCCTTTGTATTCCTCTGATGTCTGTTGTTATTTCACCTCTTTCATTTCTGATTTTATTTATTTGGGTTCTCTCTTTTTGCTTCTTGGTGAGCCTGGCTTGTTATGATTTCCATCTTCTTGAATTTGAAGAGACTTTGCCTGTGTCCTAATATGTGGTCTCTCTTTGAAAATCCCATGTGCACTTGAGAAGAATGTATATTCTGTAGCTTTGTGGTGACATGTTCTGAAGATATCTATTAAGTCCATCTGATCTAGTGAGTCATTTCAGATTGCTGTTTCTTTGCTGATTTTTTGTCTAGAGGATTTATCCAGTGATGTCAATGGGGTATTAAAATCCCCTACTATGATTGTATTGTTGTCAATCCATGGTGTATGATCTTTCCTAATGTAATGCTGGATCTGATTTGCTAGAAATTTGTTGAAGATTTTAGCATCTATGTTCATCAGGGATATTGACCTATAATTCTCTTTCTTTGTAGTGTCTTTATCTGGTTTGGGGTTAGACCAATATGTTCTCCCATGCAGTGGTTTCATAGAATGCTGGTTTCATAGAAAGAGCTTGGAAGTGTGCCTTCCTCTTGAATTTTTTGGAATAGTCTGAGGAGGAGAGGTTTTAGTTCTTATTTGAAGGTTTGGTAAACTCCCCTGTGAAGTTATCTGGCCCAGGGCTTTTTTTTTTTTCTGGAAGTTTTTTGATTACTGCTTCAATTTCCTCCATAGTTATCAGCCTATTCAGATTTTTTTTTAATTCTTTCTGGTTGAGTTTGGAAAGTCTTATTTTTCTAGGAATATGTCAGTTTCTTCTAGGTTGGCCATTTTGTTGGGATAGAGTTATTCATAGTATTTTTTTTTTTACAATCCTTTGTATTCCTCTGATGTCTGTTGTTATTTCACCTCTTTCATTTCTGATTTTATTTATTTGGGTTCTCTCTTTTTGCTTCTTGGTGAGCCTGGCTTGTTATGATTTCCATCTTCTTGAATTTGAAGAGACTTTGCCTGTGTCCTAATATGTGGTCTCTCTTTGAAAATCCCATGTGCACTTGAGAAGAATGTATATTCTGTAGCTTTGTGGTGACATGTTCTGAAGATATCTATTAAGTCCATCTGATCTAGTGAGTCATTTCAGATTGCTGTTTCTTTGCTGATTTTTTGTCTAGAGGATTTATCCAGTGATGTCAATGGGGTATTAAAATCCCCTACTATGATTGTATTGTTGTCAATCTCTCCCTTGATATCATCCAGAAGGTTTTTTTTTTTTTAATGTATTTGGGAGTTCCTGCATTGGATGCATACATGTTTACCATAGGTATCATCTGGTAAATATTTTTCTATCCCTTTACTTTCAGTCTGTGTGAATCTCTGTTCTGAGTTGGGTCTCTTGTAGACAGCATTTGTATGGGTCATGTTTTCTTATCTATTTAGCCACTATTTGTCTTTTGATTGGAGCATTTAGTACACTTATGTTATTATTGATAGGTATTTGTTTGTGCCATTTTTATTCTTTATGACTGTATTCCTTCTTCCCTTCTATTTCTTCTTTTTACAACAGTCCATTTAGCATTTCTTGCATTGCTGGCTTGGTAGTGATAAACTTCCTTAGCCTTTTTTTTTGTCTGTGAAGCTCATGATTTCCCCTTCAATTTTGAATGATAGCCTTGCTGGATAGAGTATTCTTGGATTCAATCCCTTGCTTTGCATCACTTTGTATATTTCATTCCATTCCCTTCTGGCCTGAAATATTTCTGTTGAGAAATCATTTGATAATATAATGGGAGATCCTTTGTAGGTAACTCTCTGTTTCTCTTTGCAGCCATTAAGATTCTCTCTTTGTTTTTAACATTTGCCATTGTAATTACAATGTGTCTTGGTGTGGGTCATTTTGGGTTCATCTTTTTTGGGACTCTCTTTGCTTGTGTGACTTTTTCTTCTCAATCAGGGAAGTTTTCTGTCACTATTTCTTGAAATAGGTTTTCTAATCTCTGCTCCTCTTCTTTTTTTTAAAATATATTTTATTGATTTTCTACAGAGAAGAAGGGAGAGGGATAGAGAGTTAGAAACATCGATGAGAAAGATCGATCAGCTGCCTCCTGCACGCCCCCCACTGGGGGTGTGCCCGCAACCAAGGTACATGCCCTTGACCGGAATCGAACCTGGGACCCTTGAGCCCACAGGCTGACGCTCTATCCACTGAGCCAAACCGGTTCGGCCTCTGCTCCTCTTCTTGTCCTTCTGGCACCCCTATATTATACATATGTTACTTCATTTCATGTTGTCCCAAAGCTCCCTTAGGCTCTCCTCCTGCTTTCTTTCTTTCTTTCTTTTTTCTAATTGCTGTTCAGATAGGGTGTGTTTTTCTACTCTATCTTCTAACTCACTAATTTGGTACTCCACTTCTTCTATTGTGTTTTTATAATAGATGTATTATTTTTATTTCCTCTTGATTTTTACATAAGTTGTTGATTTTCTCATCCATCTGGTTTATGAACTGCATGACTCTTACTCTGAATTCTTTTGCTGACATATTACATGCCTCTGTTTCATTTAGTTCCTTTTCTGGGGATTTCTCTTTTTCTTTCCTTGGGGGATTGTTTCTTTGTCTTCCCATTTTTGCTCTCTCTTTCTGGCCCTGGGCACCCTGCTTGGCATTTGAGAGGTTGAAGACACTATCATGGAAATGGTCCTGAAATCATTAGCCCACAGGCTGGGTCTGCCTTGAGCCTCGCATCTTTATTGTCTCTGCTCTGAGTTGTATCCCCTTCTCTGACATATCTGGTCCCTCAGTTGTCTGCTTCAGATGTTCTGGGTGGTGGGAGCACATGCACAGTTTCTCTGGCATGGGACTCCCTGTGAAGACCCAGAGCCCTCTGGTATGCAATTTTCTGTGCAGCCCCAGCACCCATAGCAGGGTGGCACCCTAGGTCCCTCTGGCAGTGCACTTTTGGCACTGTTGTGTGGCCTCTGACTAGGCATACCAGTTTGCCTTGATAGCACTCTCTTGTGGCCTGGGGTGAGAAGTGTACTGGGTCACTTGGGGTAGCCCCTGCAGGACTGTCCCAGGGGCCAGGGAGAGAGGGTGTGGGTTGCTCTGGGTGGCACAGTCAGAGCTCCCCTGTGGCCTGAGTTGGGCATGTTCTGGGTTACTCCAGGTTTCCCTGACAGCAAGGCCCTGGGCTTGGGGTGGAGTGGGCGCTGGTTTCTCTAGGTCACACAGTCTTCATTTTCTTGTAGCCTGGAGTGAAACACGTGCTGAATTGCTCCAGTTAATCCTTCCTCAGTGTGGAGTGGGTCATGTTTCCCTGAGTCACTCAGTTCATGCTTTCCTGTTACCTGGAGTGAGGTGTGCATTCGGTTGCTTCAGAAAGCCCCAGCAGGACTGTCCTGAGGGCCAGGGTGAAGCAGGTGTGGTTGGCTCTGGGTTGCTCAGTCAGAGCTCCCCTGTTGCCCTGAGTGAGGCATGTACTGTGTTGCCTTGGGTTGCCCCTCCTGGGCCAGGGTAGAGCAGGTGTTTGTTGCTCCAGGTCACCCCAGCAGGGCTGTCCAGCTGGTTGGGGTGGAGTGAGCAAAGGTTGCACAGTCCCTGCTCTCTTGTTTCCCAGAGTGGGGCATGCTCTGGGTGTTCCAGGTTGCCCTGGCAGCAGGTTCTGAGGCTCAGGGTGGAGCGGGCACTGTGTGGCTCTGGGTCAGGCTAGCAGCTCAGTTCTAGGGTCCAGGGTGGGGGTGGGGCACAGGATTCCCCCTGGCTTGCATTCATTGTGGGGTCTTGGAGCCAAACCTAGGATGCTGGGTCCCAGTGGGCTGGTGAGGATGCCTGGTGCAGGAGCTCACTCAGCATGTGCTCCCTGCAGATGTCTGGGAGCCTGCTGGGAGGTCCTGTGCCTCTCACTGATGGGACATGGTGGTAGTTTCACGTGGGTTATGGCTGGCAAGTGGTGTTCTCTAGGTGTCCTCTGTCCTCTTTATTGAAAATTGCCTCATCAGCTTTGTCTAATTTGTTAATTCAGGTGGATGTTCTCCAATTTAGTTGCTTTTATGGCCTGGCCTTAGGAGGAGGTGCAGAACACTGCTGCCTATTCAGCTGCCATTTTTTATTCCTGCCTTAAATTGTTTTTTAAATATGAGTCTGAAGCTTTTACAAATTCACCTAATTGAATAGGGATAAATCAAGAAAGCTCCTAGGCATTTTACACACATAAACACACACATAGGTACACATAAAATTTGTTTTTAGACTGTTCGCATATAAGCAATCTCAAAACACCACTAATGAATGTGATATAGCAGGTTTAAAAGATGAGTATTCAAGCCCTGGCTGGTGTGGCTCAATTGGTTGGGCATCATTGCATTCACCAAAAATTTGCCTCTTTGATTCCTAGTCAGGACACATGCCTAGGTAGTGGGTTTGATCCGCAATGGGGTGCATGCAGGAGGCAGCCGATCCATGTTTTGCTCTCACATTAATGTTTCTTTCTCCTTCTCTCCCTTCCTTTCTCTTTAAAAATAAATTAAAAAGAGTATTCAAAAATATATAATTATAGAAATAATTCATACAGTTTATGATTTATCTTCTAGAGTATTTTTCTCCACTAATTTTTTTTTACTTATAACAGATGATCATATCTATAGGTCATATATCTATATTCTTAATCAGCACCCAAAAACTCATGATTTTTGATGAAAAAATCATATTTTAAGTATTAGGAAATATTTTATGAAGAAATATTTGATATCTACAGATTTACTTATAACCATAGATAGTATATTGCTCATGCCGATATATATTTTATATACAGTTTCTCCAGGTCAACAGGATAACAGCTCTATTTCTTTGCATGGGATAAAAGGCTCTCTTCAGTCTGGTCCTGCTTGTTTTTCTACCCTTCTCTCTCAACATTTGTTCATTATATGCTTCCCACTTCAGTCATGTGCAGCTACTTGTGGGTTCCCATTAAGCCATGCAAGTTCACATTTTTATATCTTGCTCTTTGTAATCTTAGAAAACTCTTGTATTCTTCAAGATTCACCTCAAAATGCTATTCTATGTTTTTTTCTTCTGTTATTCCAAATATTTTTATGTGTAGCCCAATTGACATCTATCTGCCTTTGTTTCCTTAATAGTGTCTGGTCCATACTTAACTGGGAGTGCCTCTAAATCTTTGCAACTTCAGCTCCTGAGAACAGCACTGTACGCAGTCAGTGTAAAAAGATAAAATGACATTGAGGTAAGTAAACCAGATACTTATCTCTTAACATGATTGCCACTGGTAAATTTGGATGTGATTGATTTAGAATATGTGATGTTTAACCACCTTCATGTAGAAAATTTTTCTTTGGATTGACCCTAAAGTTTTATATTTATCTTTGCAAGCTTATACACTTTCAGATATGTAAATGTCACTTATGATTTGCTAACTATTAAAATTTAAGCTCAAGTTCACTAAGTCAGGAACAACAGAATGAGATGATCATATATATGGATGGTATATGCATAAAATATATAATTTGTATATTGTAAAATATACATGTGTAATACACATATATTATATATAAAATATCTACACATATTACATATATATACATACATCACCTAATGCAGTGATGGCGAACCTTTTGAACTTGGCGTGTCAGCATTTTGAAAAACCCTAACTTAACTCTGGTGCCGTGTCACATATAGAAATTTTTTGATATTTGCAACCATAGTAAAACAAAGACTTATGTTTTTGATATTTATTTTATATATTTAAATGCCATTTAACAAAGAAAAATCAACCAAAAAAATGAGTTCGCATGTCACCTCTGACACGCATGTCATAGGTTGTATATTTTTTCATAAACTTGTATTTCTGATAAACTTATGGGAAGTAGCTTTATTCAAATTATAAAGTTATAGAAAAATAGTGTTCAGGATATAATAACATAGAGACTGTAAATGTGGAAATTGATGAGCTAAGGGAACCGTAATAGAGGCAGTGCTTAACAGATTGTGAAGATAGAGGCAGATATAGATGAATATAGTACAGTATTTTTCATAAATATACCTAATGCTTTTCACAATTTTCACATATTAAAATTCAGCACATTGTTTAAATGTTACTAAATTTGCTCTTAATGATACTTATATTATGGTTTGTAACTATTGTCATGTATGATACTGTGTCTTTAATTGTTTTAATCCAAACATTCCTCTTCAATATCCAGATATTTCTCTTAGGTTAAAAACTTGGAAGTCGATATAAACATTCTGTCATTACAAATAACATAAAGTTGCTCTGAGCTAATTATGAAAAACATTCTCAATTTTATTTAAATTAGTGGTTTCCAAATGGAGATGGTATACCCTCAAAAAAGACATTTGATAATGTCTATTTCAGTTGTCACAACTTGTGGAGGAGAAGCTACTGACACCTAGTGGGTAGAGGCCAAGGTGCTGCTAAATATCCTATGCACAGGACAAGGATTATTCAACCCAAAATGTTAATATCCACAAGATTCAGAAAGCCCACTTTAAATAAGTGTGTTCAGTTTACATATAGAGAATCATTTAAGATCATTACAAAAAGTAGCCCAAATTTTCATGTGACCTAAGCATTATTAAGCAGAATTAAGTTCTGTCATAATTTTTATTCTTAAAAATTATTGAAAAAAACTTTTAAAGACTGCACCAAGGTGATATTTTCCATGTTTTTCTAAATTTATAGATTTTTGGTATCTAATGATATGCTAATAATTATTTACATTGGTATCAAATCCTTTTGATCAGGATCACAAGAGGTGCATAATACAATAAATTAGGCTTGTTCTGTGTGCAGCGGGATAGGTTTCCATAGAGGACCCAGAGCCTGTGTATTATAATCCACTCTTTCCTGAAAACCTCTTATGAAAAGGCCAAAATAGAATTTGGGGATAATCTAGCTTCCCTGACTTTTCTAGGCAACATTCTAACTAAATTATGTAATATAAACAAACTAAGAAGACATTATTAGAAAAAACATTTCCAACCTTCTTTAGTATCCAGTTCAATGTGATTGAAATGAGAGAGTTTATAAATGAGAGAGTTTATAGAGAATCATTTAAAGGATCACTGTGATATTCTTAATTTGCTCTCAAAATAAGATGTGGGATGAGATGTATTAAACTAAATGGTTTTTTTACCATGACACTAAAATGTTTGAATAAACTCAAAAAGTTGCTCTACTGATTCCATTACAAGTTATGTCTGAACTATTTGGGATAAAAAGAAAATGTTCTGAATCTCAGTCTCAATACATTTATGATTAACTTATTTTTTTCTTTTATTTTTTTTATCCTTACCAAGGATATGTTTATTGATGAGAGAGGGAGAGAGAGAGAGAGAGAGAGAGAGAGAGAGAGAGAGAGAGAGAAACCTCGATGTGAGAGAGAAACATTAATCTGCTGCCCCCTATATGCACTTGGACCAGGTATCAAACCTGAAACCTAGGTTTGTGCCCTTATCTGGAATTGAATCCACAACCTTTTGTTGTACAGGATAACACACCAACCAACTGAGCCACCCCGTCAGGGCTATGATTAACTTCTTAATTTATTAAATGTGGAACCAGCCAAATTTTTAATTCCCTTTGAGGTCTATTTCTGTGAAGAATTTTACAAAGTGTACATATAAATGGTACATATATGTCTGATATATATATGTATGTGTGTATATAAAGCACATTTAAATGTATACAAATATATATAATAAACTTTAATCTATATAAATAATAAGCATATAGCAAGGATGCTATAGATTACATCATATATATGTATTTATATACATATATATAATTTTACACTGTAGTGTTGTTAGCGATTTTCTTTCTTTCTTTTTGCCTTATCATGCCCTCTAAGCACACAAAAAATGTCTGCACAGTCTTTTTTTCTTTATATATGTATGTGTTGGTGCAAAATAAGGTTGGAGTGGTGAATAAAGTTAGATCACACAGGATGGTATAATTAACATGAAAAATCTAAAGTTAATGCTGAAGAGAGGGGTCATATTTAGAGCAGTGAGACCAAATAGGATTATGCTGTCAGGTAAGAGATGGAGAAGGAAAGACAGAGAGATAACTGAACAGAATTATACATAGGAAGCATAGTGAATACAAGTTCTGATAGTATGTGTATAGAGAAATAGGAAAGCAAAAGTTTTGAATGACTCCTCGTTTGGAGTTCTAGAATCTGCATAGAACCTGGTGCCCTTCTGGAGACAGTGAGAGGAACAGGAAATGGGCAGGGAAATACTGAATTATGTTTCTCACAATTCAAAAGTGAGATTTCTCTGGACAGTTAGTAAACATAGAACTATTCAAGTTTGGGGGGGGGATCTGGGGCTTGAAATATAAAACTGTTACCAACTGACACCTGCTGGGACCTTGGTTCATCTCATAAAGAATTTAAGACCAACGAAAATGAAAGTAAAGCAAAGTAGGTTATTGAAAATACACTCCAAGCAAGGAGCGGATCAGTCCAGAGAGACAGTGGCCCCAACTCCCTGGGTTATTTGGTTTAAATAAGGGATCTTCTGGGTGGAAACTTTCATTTGCATCCAGGGATGATTGACAAAAAATGGTTATATAACTATATTTCTTCTGTGCATGCCCTTACCCATAATGCACACAGAAAAACCTCTGTGGTGTGTGTGTGTGTGTGTGTGTGTGTGTGTGTGTGTGTGTGTCAAAATTGCAATGCTAAGTTTACTATAATTAGTCCAGGGCCTAGTAAGGTCGAATTGAGGTCATGTGGTCTTCCTCTGAGCCTGTGCCAAGAACTGGCTGGGAGGGAACCTCCCTGATGTGGTCTGCTTCAGAACTGCTGGCTGCAGGGCTGCCCACAGAGAGGTGGTCTGAAGGCAGTGTTGGTCAGGCCCCTGTCAGGACCCCAGGGCAGGCCCCACCCCAGCTGCTCACGTCCAGTTTCCTACCGAACACAAATACTCATTATAAGCATAGAAGTGACATTTAAAGTGGCAGGAATAGATGTGACTGCAAAGGGAAAATGGCTTATAGAAGAAGAGAAGAGGCCTGGTTGGGATTCCTAAAAACTACAAGCATTTAGGAGCTTTCATTCTTAATCTTTCTGTTACTTGTCATTTCTTCCCAGGCACACCTTCTCCCTCAGGATACTCAGAACACCACATCACATTGGGCTGCTTCTACTAATCCTTACTAAATTGTGTGTTAGTTTATGCGATCCTTCCCAAATTACAAAAATGCTTTAATCCAATTAATTATGTACCAAAGAATGTCCACTGTAGGTGAAGTTATTCCCCAGAGGATGGGCAAGAGAATAATTCTACTCATAACTCTGGTTAACAACTCTCAAATCCTATATAATAAAGAGGTAATATGCAAATTGACCATTACTCCAACACACAAGATGGCCACCCCCATGTGAACACAAGATGGCCTGCAGGGGAGGACAGTTGTGGGCGACCAGGCTGGCAGGGGAGGACAGTTAGGGGTGACCAAGCCAGCAGGGGAGGGCAGTTAGGGGCAATTGGGCTGGCAGGGGAGCAGTTAGGCATTGATCAGGCTGGCAGGGGAGTGGTTAAGGGGTGTTCAGGCGTGCAAGCAGAAGCGGTTGGGGGCAATCAGGCAGCGGGCAGGCAAACAGTTGGGAGCCAGCAGCCAGCAATCCTGGATTGTGAGAGGGATGTCCGACTGATGCAGACAGAAGCAGTTGAGGGCAATCAGGTTGCGGGCAGGCAAGCAGCTGGGAGCCAGCAGTCCTGGATTGTGAGAGGGATGTCCGACTGCCCGTTTAGGCCCTATCCCACCGGGCAGTTGGACATCCCTCAAGAGGTCCCAGATTGGAGAGGGTGCAGGCTGGGCTGAGGGACACCCCCCCTGCCCCCGTGCACGAATTTCATGCACCGGGCCTCAAGTTATACTATAAGGGAATCTGAATTCTCTGTGGGGAACATAACCTGTCTGCTAAGTGTCAGCATAACCACTTGCAGACTTTCAATGAAGTCAGAGAGTAGCATTATAATGGGTGTATGATGGCTATTCTCATTCATTATTCTTTTTACTCTATTTAGAGCCCCATATCATCTTCCAGATTCCCTCCCACCTCACTGGACACACCATCTCAGTAACCTTGGCTGGTTTCTTTTTCACTTCCCCAAATAGTCCTCTCCTATGGCTATGGGTACTCCCTAGCTACATGACATTCTGTATCCCCAGGGCTTTAAATAGCCTCTACTACATGGTGACAACTTCCAAACTTATAGTTCAACCTTCTGGCACCTCTCTTTATCACACATTACTCCTCCAAGTTCCAGTTCATATAACAACTTCTTTCTTAAAGTCACTACTTGAATATCTAGTAGGTATCACAGATTTAACATATCCAATACATAATTTGATTATACCATACCCCCACACAATTTTCCCAATATCAGTAATAGTCCTGCCATTTACCTTGTAGCTCAAGCCAACATACTGAAGCATCCTTGATTTGTCCCCTTTCCTCTCAGTCCACATGCAACTGATCTACCTTTGCTATTGTCTTAAAATTCAAAATATAGTCTCAATGTAACTAATTATTACCATTTCCACTCTAATCCTTCCTTGTCAGGGATTTGTAATAGCCTTCTAACAGGTATCAACTCATCTCCCTTCTACCTACTTCCTGTCAACATAACCCAGTTCATTTCTTCTTCAGGGTCTTTGAACTTGCTGTTTTATCTGCATGATATGTTCTTCCCTCATATCTTTATATGGTTCATGCATTCATTTAAAATTCAGGCTTCGGTTCAAATGACACCACTTCATAGGGGACTTGAAAGATTACCCTTTGATAACTACCCCCCCCATCACTTTTTATCTGCATTTTCTGCTTTATTTTTCATCACAGTACTGACATTTAAAAAATATATTTATTTATGTTTTTATTTGTTTATCTTCTGCTTCTTTCACTGCTATTTAAGTCCTATAAGGGCAGGGGCTTTTCCTTCTTCACTTCCATTTCCCAAGAACGTAAATACTACCTGACTTTAAATATACAGAATTATTTGTTTAGTGATTGGATGGAATATTCAAGGGTTTTAGAAATGCAAGTCTTTTATGTTGGACCTGACTGCCTTAAATATTTATAAAATTCTATTGGAAGTAAGATAAGCAAAATATTTAAGGATAAAGAAATGCAAAACATAAGGGCATTCTCTGATTAGTTCCAATAATGTTCTTACATGTTTGCCTATGAAAAATCTGTTTCTCCTGAGTATTCACATTTTATCTCTTGCCCTTATGTTTGTCTTAAGAGTCTTTAAAGAATGCAACCAGGCTGCCATCTTCCAAGGGTATTATTTTTTCTTGCTGAATGTAGGACTTTTATATTTAGAAGCACAAACTCTTTCCTAATTATATACAACCTACTGTTCTAAATTTTGCATGCCACTTTGCAGTTTAGTGCTATGCGATTTACTTGCTTCCAATTTTGGTGTCAGAAATTTGACAGTTAGATTGCTTTTGAAAAGTAATGGTAAAGTGAATTTAGTACTGAATGAAGTAGCATCTGTTTTCTTACCTTCTTGTATTTTTTTTCATTTCACTTATTTGTAATAATGATCATGATAATAGGTCAAATGCTCATCATGATTTTAAATGCAGAGCAAGTATTTTTAATCCTTATTAAAGGAATCAAATACTTATACATTTTAGCTAATTTTGTTCATATTTTTCTCTCCAAACAACAAATGAATGAAATACAACTTCCTAAATTCATTAAATAACACCTACACATTAATTCACATTTATTAAAAATATTGTAGTTTATATTGCCGAAACCGGTTTGGCTCAGTGGATAGAGCGTCGGCCTGCGGACTGAAAGGTCCCAGGTTCGATTCCGGTCAAGGGCATGTACCTGGGTTGCAGGCATATCCCCAGTGGGAGATGTGCAGGAGGCAGCTGATCGATGTTTCTCTCTCATCGATGTTTCTAACTCTCTATCTCTCTCCCTTCCTCTCTGTAAAAAAATCAATAAAATATATTTTAAAAATATATTGTAGTTTATAGAGAACCTGGCAGAAATATTGGTTTACTATGGAATTCTGACAATAGCTAGATTCCTATCATGGTTTTGAATTTTAACTAACAAATAAAGTATCCCTACCTATTGAATAGCATCACTTGCATTTTGTGGTCATGTGTTATATCTATCTCTGTCACTATCTATCTATCCACATGCATGTACATATACACCATACACATATGTGTATGTTATATATGTATGTATTTGTGTCTGAATGTACATAAATATTCAACAAAACATTAATGGAAATTCATAGCTATTAAGATAAACAATTTAAAACCTTCCTTTTTTGGTTAATGGTTGTTCTATTCATTAATTTATAAAATTGAGTTTATGGGCATTATGTTAAATGTACTGCAAAATGTGTTTGGTATACCTGTTAATATGACAAAATAACAGTATTGTTCAAAATTTTCTCTTAAGGTGTTACCTAATTTTAGTTATACTGAAAGGCAGCTTGGAAAAGGGCAAACTCATTAAAGGATTTCATTGTGAATATTTTCCCACCTGTAAAATTAGATTGTAATTACTTTATTTACAGTTTTGCCTTTGAGCTATTTTTTCCTTCATTGTAAAAGAGAACAGCTGGTGGTATTCCCAAATGTTAGGCTAACTTTAAAGATTCTCACACTCCTTTTTGCTTGTTTGACACTATCTTTGACCAGATATCATAGCTACATAATGAGAATCATTTTTGACATTTGAAAATTAAAAATAAGAAGGAATGAAAACAGATCCAGAGACAGAGAAGCATCAATTGGACCATCAAACCCCAGAGGGAAGGCATGGGAGGGTGGGGGTAAGGGAGAGAGATCAACCAAAGGACTTGTATGAATGTATATAAGCCTAACCAAGGGACACAGACACTGGGGGGGTGAGGGCATGAGCAGGGGGATGGGGGACAATGGGGGGGATAGGACACATATGTAATACCTTAATCAATAAAGAAAAAAAGAGAAGGAATCAAATACACATTTTAGAATATAGGTAAGTGAAATTTCTCTTGTAAGTAATCTTTGAATCTTATTTGATATATTTTTATTTTCCATTAATCCTGAGGGTAAAGCTAGGTAATATGTAAAATGGAATCATTTTAACCAAGCTGCTAAAATTGTTAACCTTATGAAAGTCCAGGCTAGAGGGAAGACCCCATTCATGTTCTAACTAGCCCAGGAACTTAAACTTTTTTGAACTTTCCAGTCCTGCATCAATGCTTGGATATACATCTGGCCCTCTACATAACCCTGTGATTACCCTCCTGAAGGACTCACGTGTAAACAACCTAATATCCAGTGTCCATATCACCAGACATGATCAGACCTCCTACAGACCATGTGGCATCCATCATCCACGCTGCCTGACATCTGACTGATAACTGTCCTGCACCAACCTTAGGCTAAGAATGCAGGACTGATAATTCTCACCAATGTGCTTTGTGCTATAAGAACATCTTTTTTTTTTTTTCCTTTGGAACACTTCTGGGTTTTTGCCTAGTTGTGTTCTCAGTTTGTA